GCAATAAAAATCATATGTTGCCATTTCTGTTCATTACTAAAGTAAATTATCTGCACAACTCTTGCTAACACAACCAATTGTTTCCACTTAACAACCTGCTCTTAAGATATTCCAAAATGATAAACTTAAGACTGATTAAAGTTTCCTTTGCTTTTGTTTGTGCTTCAGAAGTTTGAAATGTTAGTCTAGCTCTTGCTCTCCAGCTTATAAACTTTAAATACCATTAGTATCTGGAAAATTAGCTGAACTTTTCCAAGTGAAGTTAAATAAAAAAATTGGGATTTTCACTTCGATTTTTAATGTTTTCCAACCTATTTCCATAACACATTTGAAATTTTAAGAAAGTACATTTTTTTCCTCCTCTCCATTCAAAAGAGAATTTATATGCTGACTCAGCCTTCCTCTTGTCTCTACATTATATTCCCATAATCTTTTACATAGAGACCTATGTAAACTAAAGTCAACTCTGACAGGAAAAGAGAAAGCCTTAATTTTCATTGCTATTTTGAGCTTAAGTGTATCATTAATATTTTACATATACTAAATACTTTTTAATATATCCTGTCTCTAAAAGTTCTTGTATTAGCATAACTAAAATTTTACACTCACACAAGCACCTATTTTTTTATTAATATCTTTGATATTTGATTAATATGTTGTCTTCCAATTTGACAGATTCAGAGGTGTTCACACAAGTTTCTTTAATGATTCACTTTCAGGTTCCAAAATAACCTTGAAGTCACAGAATAACGGTCCTAAACTATCATGTGTTTGGGAGATCTGTACAAAGGGACCCATTGGAAGTGGGAAACCAAACTCATTTTTGTGTGGCTATTTAGTCTTACCTGTATTTCCACACAATAAATCTCCACAAAAAACTACCTCCGCAGAGCATCAGATGAAAAATATCCTCCATATCCTTGCAAAAAGGCATGCAATTAGTTAATTTTTAATAGACTTTTCAATTAAGACACAGTCTTGACAGGCATCAGTACTATAATGCTAGGACTACTTAAGTGGAGGAAACTAAAGTGGGATGATTGTAGGAATCAATGATTTTAAAATGATAGCCCAGTGTACTTTCTAACATCTGATTTTGATTCCCCAGAAGTAACTCTGCAATAGCCTGCACTTTGGTTGTTACGTATTACGAAATTGTGGAAATGACGCACTACAGAAAAGACTCAGTCTACCGAGATTCAAAATGACTGTGCAAGTTGAAACTAGAAGTAATATAACTGCTTGACTATTTGACTTACGTATTACGAAATTGTGGAAATGACGCACTACAGAAAAGACTCAGTCTACCGAGATTCAAAATGACTGTGCAAGTTGAAACTAGAAGTAATATAACTGCTTGACTATTTGACTTACGTATTACGAAATTGTGGAAATGACGCACTACAGAAAAGACTCAGTCTACCGAGATTCAAAATGACTGTGCAAGTTGAAACTAGAAGTAATATAACTGCTTGACTATTTGCCTTTGTATCTTATTTCAGAGTATATCACTTTTCCACAAACCTGAAAAAGACAACAGATATCTCTCCAAAGAGATCATTAATTAATTACCTTGTTGGAACAACGTTATGTAAATTCGAGATACTCAAACAGGTTTTGGCACTGCAGTTCACATTCAGTCGCTTTTGCAGCTATTACATGTGTATGGGTTGAGATCTTGTATGCTTAGACCAACCTTCTGATTATTTTCTTTAAATTAGAACAGAAGTCTAACATAACTAAGCATTTTTACAGCACTGACTCCCTTTTTACTGTTGCAAGAGTCTGGAGAGATAGGAGGGATGGACTTCAGAAGTCAGGAATCACCAAATCTTTGCTTTCATCCCTGTTTCTCAGCATTTTAGCTCCGGAGCTCACGTAATGTGCTATTACAGAGTTTCATCTGTAGCTCCAAAAGCTTCCTTCTTCCTTCCTAATAATCTCTTTATACAGATTAAAATTATCCTGTAGAAAGAACTCAGGAAACTGGAGGTTAACATAACATCATTACACGTCATTACTGTTGCTGAAAGCCCATGACACCCTCTCCTTGTGATCATGACCTATTGATAATTTCACTTTTTTTTTCCTTCTTTTTTTTTTCCTTACTGGGATGGAAAAATCTTTCCTCATCTTTTTGTCAGCTGGCACTGATATCCTTAGGCTAGCATGATGGTATAAGAAGTGCTATACAATCCCACTGCACACACAACCCTTCTCCATCCACTGCTGTACCTCCAGGGTAACTCTGAACACGAAGTCAGTCACATAAGCTTTACAAGTCTCCATGGTCCAAACCTGTTATTTCCAAGAAAAAACTAACCCCATTAGTCCTACTAATCACAATACAAAGTCAAGCAGTAAACAGATTCAAACATTTTTATGGAAACTAATACAAATGCCCACACACCTTTCACAATTAAAAGAGCATATAGGTATAGGCATTTTGTATGACTGCCAGTCTGTCCAGCTGATGCCCTACTGAAAATGGATGACACTTAATGAGCTGATCACCATTCCAATACTGTTCACTGTCACAAAAAACACTCAGGATTACATTACCAGAAAGAGCAACAAAATGCTTACCATATTTTGAAACACTTCAAATACATCCAAACTTGGGTAACAGGAACGTAGAAATTCTTGTTATTGATTTCATTACCATGGAACAGGGTTGACTCCATCACTTCCAAGTTATTAGTCATAACATACTTAGGAGTATAACAACTACGATCCTTACAATCAATCCTTCCCTATTCTATGGGAATCTCCCCATCTTACATATAGCACTGTATCCCTCGCTGCAGGTAATTTACATTAAAAAAAAAAAACAAACCATATTTGCATCTTTTGGAACTCCATTGTTTGAATTGTTTTTGCTACCAAAAAGTCCAGAGCAAGAGCCACAGGTAGAGCCATCATTACTGCTTGCAGTAGTACCTGCACAGACAAGTAGCAACAGATTACTTGAGCACAGTTTTGCCTTTTAGTATGTCTCTACATATCTCATTAACTTTGTATGCTGTTAAGGGTTGTGCACTTCTAAAGGTTCAGTAGCAAGTACAACCATAGATGGTAGATTGACTAAGAGAAGACCAGCACAAAAATCTCTCTCTCAATTAGTCACATTCAACAGTATTCTTAACAGATGGTGTTTATTCCGTTCTTTCAGTAAGACAGGAAGTCTCAGAGTTCATAGGAAGGATTCAGAAATACCTGGCAGACTTCTGCAACGTGACCTAGAAAACTACTGCCATCATTCCCGATACATAGAAAATGGGCAAATCGCAAAGTGCTGGTAAATAGCACCTCACCAGCCGCTTGATTTCCCTTGAAGGCAAGGAATTCCAGAGAGGAAGGGGAAGGGAGCAGAGAGAGAGGAAAAGCTCGCATAGCCCAAGGGATGATATCAGAGACTCGATCAGAGACAATAGGATGAAAGTCAGATAATGCCGGACAACAGATAAGAACAGCCTCAAGATTGGACTTCAGTCACGGAGCTAAAATTAACGCTGGGGTTATTAGGGTGAACAGTCATCAGTTCCAAGCTGTGCACACAGCTGCCACGTGAATGAGGTAGGAGCTTCTGATACTGCTCTGGTTTTGCATATGTTATTGAGCCCCTAAACAGAATAAAAATAGAATAAAAAATAAAATAAAAACCTGCAAATAATCTTAGTGTTTGTAACACATGCTTACTGTAAACTAGTATTTTAATGGGATTTTATACTGCAGACCATTATTTACTGTAAGTAGATTGGATTTACAAACACATGCTGCAGAATTGGAGATGCAGTGCTTATTAATGACTATAATCTTAATTTACTCTTCTGTTTGTGCTTTGTATTAAATATATGTAGATTTTTCATGTTTGGGTTCTTTCTAAATAAATTTATCTCATCCAAATATTAGCCATAGTATCAGCAGCTTTCTCAATCGGAATTAAACAACTAAATTACATTTTAAAAGATTATATTGAAAAAGTCTTTTTATATAAATAAGGTCTGTGAAACTTCAGTTGGTTTTAAACTAGTATTAATGTAGTATTGTACCATTGCATCAAATGCATCAAAAAATAATTGGATTTCCTCTGCCAAAATACCCTGAGAGGAAGAAAAAAATCTTTATCAATGAAGTTATAGAGAAGCCATTAATTTTGAATTATTATTTTTTATAGAGAAATTGCTTTATTTGACGTATCACTTTCCTGTGGAGAAAGTGTGGAAAAACTGAGACAAATAAGTAAACATAGTATTTGAATGACAGATCCATCAAGAAAACCTGCAGAGTAGTAACAACTTCTGCAGGAAGAGAGCATTATCTTTACCGTGAGCAAATTATAGTGAGATAACATACAGTACTTAGATCTACAGTTGTTTGTTTCACACATAGTATTCTAAAATGGTCAGATAACACACCATCTTCCAGTAAATATAATATTGAATTTATCCAGATTAAATCCTGAGGAGTAAGAAGTTAATCAAATTATGCACACAGCTGATTTTGTTTCAATCCAATTGCCTTCTCTTAACAAATTTCATTTTATCGCTAATCTCATGGTTTTAAGTTGTTTATGAACTTCATGTTAATCATTTTTCATTAGATGAAAATCTTTAACCTCAAAGGTACTACCAGGGATATTCACATTATCCAAGATTCTCCACTCAAAGGGAAATAAGACTTAGAAATAAAGCACAAGAGATGTGTACCAGTCTTACATGGGAATAAAACTATTAATGTAACACTGACTTACGCACATACTATCTTCCTTTTGTGTAAGTACTGCTATCAGAAAGTAAGAAAAAAACCCAGACTCTCGCTCCTATTAATAATAGTTCAAGAGCAGTTCCCCTTACAGCTACAGTGTATTAAAGAGTATTTAATAAAAAAAATTATACAGACTTCGTAAATATATTGGGGGAGTAATGATTTTTACTACCATTTATCACAAAAATTTAACAGAAATGACATTTGGGAATACAGACCAGAACAAATTTATATTAGATTTTAAAAAGATGATTTTTATTAAGCACAAACAGCTTTTAATACATTATCAATACAAATAGGAAAACATCTGTTTAATGAATTTGATATATCAAAGATTTGATGGGCAGATTGCATACTGGCACAATAAAAATGATTTTTTTTTTTTTTTAAAGTATTTCAAATTAAAATTATAGGGTCACCACTGTCTACACTGCAGGAACTTTACCTACAGTCTAAAATTACTACATCACCAGGGCATAGGGGGAAGCAAAGAACTACAATTTCGTAATATGCAACTCCTAACACTTTCATTAGCACCATTCAAAGCTTGCATCAGCTGTTTAACTAAGAAGCAGCTGACAGGTCAGGTAAAGCTTTACAGCAAATTTCAGTGCAAAGTTTACAGTTCCTTTTCATAAGATACTTGGAATCTATGGTTTCATAGCATGTTAAATAATTATGGCTTGATAGATGTACAGTGTTAAGATGCTGAGAACATTTACTTTGAAAAAAAGATGAGACTTTTAACGGCTGTGAAATGCATTTTAATATATTATGCCAAATTTTGTAATATGCAAACAACATGCTGGATTACAAACTGAAGTCCTATTATGAATTCATAGACAAGGGTCAGTATTAGCTCTCTGGGGTAGTGGCTTCTGGTTGTCTCAGCTGCTGCTTTTTCAGGCTAACTAACTTCATCTTCTCTCTAATGTGTTCTGCTGCAGAAGCCATATCACTTGGGCTCCCAAAGTACTGCTCAGACCTAAAAAAGAAACCCCACAAAAAGTTATCAGTGAAAAGTAAGACAGTGTGTGAATATACACGTGAATGGCACTAGAAAACACAAAGCAGGTAAGAAAAATAGGCACTTTTTCCTCTTGCAATTTAAAAGCCACCTTTAAAAGGCTTTGGAGACTCAGTGATGAGACTTGACAGCAGATCTTGACGAAGTTATTACAAATACTAAATGACTCTTTCATACCCAAAAGATTCTCTCAACAGCAGGATGCTGTTCTATAAGTGCAACAAGATACTTCCTAACATTTTTTTTTTTTTTTACTGACATTCTCTGGCTACTCCCCAAGTCAGTCTGGCAGTTTTGAGTACTACGACAATCAAGGAAATCTGTCTATACATGAATTCTGAGGCTATACAATTGCTACATTATTGAAGGACTGTGAGTATATGAAGTCAGCCACATGCTGTCAAATTATGTCATCTACCTCTCAAACTGGAAAGAACACATGGCTCTGTAAGTTGATTTCTCCCACTTAAATACAACAAAAGAACAGCTGAAATGTTAGGGAAACCACTAACGAAGTTGTCAGCAAAAGGAGGATTTGAACAGAGTACATGTTACAGAAGAAGAACAGGTATCAAATCTAATTACAAAGCACAGACGCTGAAGACTTTGGAAATGGCGGTAGGACAAAGGACTTTGGACAGAGTGGGGTGACAGGCATAAGCGGACAGAAAAGTTATTTCACACAGGAGGGGACTAGTTTGACTAGGGAACTCCAAAGACTACAGATTGCACAACTGCGCACAGGATCACAGTATGGTCAGAGGTTTTTCCTGATGCAGATTAGAAGCCAGGAGCAGGACAGGGAACAGTGACCTGGACTTCCATGAAGATACTGACAAAAGTTCAAAGTGGTAGAGAGGCTGATGAAGATGCCTCCAAGCTTTTTATGACATTTTGTGTGTTCCTACGTTTCTTAAACTATTTCTAATGAGTGAACCCTTTGCAAATTGTTTGTTAAATACTTAAAAACAGAATGCGTAGGGACAACGAGCAGGGGATCCTGGAATTTAGGACAGCTAAGATCCCACTTTTGAGAAGGGGACACACAGAACTCTGCTGAAATGCCAGAGGGGTCAGAAATAATGTTTAGGATTCAGTCAGTCAGCCTAAAAATACAGGTGTATATATACCTATAGCTATAGAAGCATTGTGTTAGGACTCAAACCTCAAAGTGTGGCAAGCATCTTCTTGGGAAGCTTGGGGAGCTTTCCCAGGTTTTAATGTTTGTTTTTACTTTAATAGTCTATCCGCAAATTACTTCAGTTTTAAAAATACATAACAGTAGTTACTTTTACCAGGTCACTAAAATCTGCTATACAAAAATTATACCAAAATACTTTAACAAACATAACACACTTCTTGGGTTTTGTGGTTTTTTTTCCCCCTCATAGCCATAAAATCCTCACTATTTTCAAATACACTACTGAAAGGGCAGTAAAAATCACTATAGTTCAGGCCTGGGTCCATCTTCATGGGTAGCACTCATTACTGAAGGAAGCTATACTGCATAGGGAGCATGATATTTTGGAAATAAGATGACAGGAAATTAATTTTCATGACAAGCTTCCTGTAACCGTATTTTTCAGATCAAATGGACAAGTGTGTTTTACAGAACAGAGAACTGAGTTTTACTATGTCTGAGATTCCAGATTCAATTTGCTTTTGTAGCTCAAGACAGCCACCGATTCTAAATTAGTATGAATAGCTCACAAGGGAAGTACTGTTTTATTTGCTGAATAAATCAAACGTCAATTTATCTTCAATGTACTGGCTTAAGACTTCAGATAGAATTGCAAATAAATTAATCAAAATACTACAATTCAAATCTGATATCTTTTTTCAGGGAGAAGAGATTGGGACTGGTCGTTCTTCTGCCACTTCTACATACTTGTGTGAAGACTGCATAAAGCTAATAATTACTGAGTACGGAAAAAGTTACTATGAAAAAGCGGGCACATTGTCTTTGGAAAGTTTGAAATTGGACCTGCCTGCTTTCTGTGAAAAGATGGGAAAGAATTTTTAATGAGTGTTAGTGCGCTGCCTTTTTGATTTCAGGAATAAGCATTCAGGATTCTTCTGCATACAAGACTATTAAGAAACTTTACCAAAAGCACATTCAGTAGGCATTAGAAAAACATTTTGCATACCCATCAGGATAAACTACAGGCACTGTTAGTCTGTCCAACAGCGATTTCCCAACTGTTTCAACTTCATCAAATTGCTCCATTTCATTAAAAGCCTCAGGCTGCTCTGGACATTCTTGCAGAATCTGTTAAAAAAATAAATAAGGAAATGCAGAATAAAGTAGACAAGGGATAGCATGTAGTTTAAGTGCCATTAACTGGCAGAATGAATGTTCTTTCAGCATCTTCACTGCTACATTTATATGAGATCAATTGAAATATTCATATAATTCAAGGTAAATATCGATTAAGCTACACTGAGAAGATAGTTCAGGGCTACGACTGTTCTGTACTAGAACGTTTTACATTACTTCTAAGAGGGAACAAAAAAGAAAAAATAGTCTTGCCAGACAATATTCCAACAACAAATATAAAATGCATAAAAATAGTAACCTGCACCAAGACAGTCATATAAAATGGAAGAAACCATTATCCCACTGTATTCAGCATTGGTGCAGCCTCACCTTGGGCACTGTGTGCAGTTCTGGGCCCCACAATTTAAGAAAGATGCGAAGATCCTTGAATGCATCCAGAGGAGGGCAACAAAGCTGGTGAAAGGGCTGGAAGGAATGTCCTATGAGGAGCGGCTAAGGACTTTGGGCTTGTCTAGTTTGGAGAAAAGGAGGCTGAGGGGCGATCTCATCATTCTCTACAGCTTCCTGAGGAGGGGAAGTGGAGAGGGAGGTGCTGATCTCTTCTCCCTGGTATCAAGTCATAGAACATGTGGGAATAGTTCAAAGCTGCGCCAGGGGAGGTTTAGACTGGACATTAGGAAGCATTTCTTTACCAAGAGGGTGGTCAAGCACTGGAACAGCCTTCCTAGAGAGGTGGTCAATGCCCCAAGCCTGTCAGTGTTTAAGAGCCATTTGGAAAATGCCCTTAATAACATGCTTTAACTTGGTCAGCCCTGAATTGGTCAGGCAGTTGGACCAGATGATCGTTGTAGGTCCCTTCCAATTGAAATAGTGTATCCTACTCTATAACACGAATAACGAAGGGCCCCTTACAAGCAGTTTCAAAACTAAAATCCACATTGGCACAGAACAGGTAGGATTAAAAAAGTCTGAGCACAAGTGCTTCCATATGGGATTGGGACCCAATAGTAGTACTTAGTTCTATATTTTCTTCCACTTCTCCCTCTGCCACTTCTTTCTTTTTTCCAAACCAGCATGGATATTAACAGCATATTTTTCTCACAGATTCATTAATAGTGCTAGGAGAATTGTTTTTGACCAAAAGCATTATTTTTTTTCAGCTATCCATTTACTTTTTTTTTTTAAACTTATGATTGCCTAAAAACATAGCAATTAACTACCGCAATAATGAAAGAATGCTCACAATATGGACTGAGACAACTCTTTCAGGAGTTTATGAACCACTGAATTCTAGTTTGGTATCAGGTAAAACTTTTTTCAGCCATCTGTGACAGCATAGATGATATATTTCTGCTTTTGTGAACCTCCAGCAACTCTCAATGCCTACAAATTAAAAGTATCTTCCATTAACACAAACAAGAAATGAATAAAAGCAAGGAGCATATGAATCAACTTTGCATCCATGCTCTCCTTCAATGACAGCATGAATTTATTTTCTTTTACCATGTGCAAAGTTGGGGTTTTTTGCAGTTATATGCAATTTTATTGTCAATATTAGAGATATATACTCTAAATTGCTTTTTTAAAATGTATCACTTCACAGAAGGAATGGTTCTTGGACAAAAAGGCCCTACCTCTCATGATCTACGTTAATGGATATTGTCTTGAATTCAGGCATTTAAGAACTCTCAACATTCCCCTGCCTTCAGCAAGCTGTTACTGAATAGTAACAGCTATCCCTCATAACATTGCTCATCCTCCTCTGTGGCTCCTAGCATCATCCAACCGGGCACAGTGGCGAGACACTTGGTCACAGGGGTTTGAAAACCACACCAAGGCAGAGGTGTGTTTTGAAGAAAGCATGTCCAAAACCCTCCAAGTGCAAAATACAAGATGCAGCAACACAGCATGCATGGAAAACAAACTGGTGACAGTTTCATTCATTTACACAGTTTGAGAGAAGAATATCACATTCAAAATGCACACAGCTTAAAAGGCAATACTTCTTTTAACTCCCCAAAGATCTTAAATGACCCTATAGCTTTGTATTATACCGTGCACAAAAACACAAATCAAGAAGTATTCTTTGCCTTCAAGAATTACAGTCTAAAACACACAAAGAAATGCTTTATGATCAACATCAGAGTTCCCCTCTGAAGAGTTAAAACCAAAAAATTCTTCTGTCCCCCACCTCAATGCACCTGAACTTCAGGGCTGCTGTTCTCCTTTTTGTTTAGCAGGTCTTATACCAATATGGGTATGCAAGCAATAATTGCATTAAGTATTGAAATTAACAATTAGAAAGATATGCTTAAATTCTTCTTTCTGTTTTTGGTTCGGGTTTTTTTGTTTTTTGTTGTTGTTGTTGTTTTTGGGTTTTTGGGGGGTTTTTTGTTTGTTTTGGTTTTAATATTTAGAAAGGAAAAAAATACACACTGACAACTTAATTTTTCTTACATTTTGTTTGCTTAAATTCTGATAAGAAATTTTTCTTCTTAAAAACACAACACTCACCTTTTCAGCACTTGAATGAAATGCAACAGCTGTTTCCAGCCGGTGCACTCTTTCTTCAGAAGTTATTGTAAACTGTTTCCACACTCTGTTTAGTCTTGGAAGTGTGTCCCCTGAGGACCTTGAAGTGCATCGTAGGGACTGGCACAGGACAACAGTTGCCTGCAGTAACTGTCTCCCATAATCGTAAGTACTCTAAGAGTTAGAGGGGATGGGAAAGAAAGTACACGTAAAAACTCTGCATTTAACTTAGGAGCTAATTAGCATCTTAAAACAACAGCAGACAAGTTTACGAAACCTCCTCAGTTTAGGTCCACAAAGTATATTGAACTAATCTGGTCTACTAGAAAAAGCTGCTGAAGCATGAATAAAATTGTAATGACCAAACAGTGTTTTTGCTCTTTAAAAAAAATTAAAACAAAAAAAAAATCCCATTGTCTAGCATTCACACTGGCGAAAGAACAGAGCTTCCTGAAAATACTGAATAGCTGCTTGGATCTTACATGGGATACTTGATATCTACTGCCAAGATGACCATCTCACTGACTTCACTGTCACCATGTTTGTGGTCACCCAGCATCCAGGTGCTTTGTGGCATATCATTATAACAGCAAGCTAACCTCCTGTCATCATCAGTTCCAATTCATCAAAAGAGAAAATGAGTTCCAGCATAACAGGTGCCATTTGAAAACATCACATCCATTAATTGGCAAGTCTGTATCAGACATTCCTAAAAGCAGTATACATCTGAAAAAGCACCTGAAAAAGGCCCAGGTTGTACACTTTCTGTTCTTAAGTGAAATTCTTTCACATGTACCTGGCACCTGTTTGCATATTCAAGATTTCAAACAGGCATGCAAACATGCCTTATGGCTTCACTGAATTTCAGTACTCTTGTACAGCAGGATTCATTAGTTGGCTGTAATGGTCAAGAATTAAAGCTGTCAGTTCTGTTCAACCACTAACTCTGCTAGTGCCAAAACTCCTTGTACAAGCAGGACCATCACAGACCAACAGTCAACTCTATCTGGAAAACCAACAGAAAGGCTGTTTCATGAAGTACAGCACAAAATAGACTGAAATCAAGTGGCTCATCCATATTTCAGTATTTTGATTGCAGTCCTTCAAAAGTCATTATAAAGACTGTTTGAAACATATGCCTTTTAAAGAAAGTCAATGTGAACTTTATGTTTTGTGGTTTGCATTGGCTATGTGAAGCAGAATAAACTAAGGTAGTAAACTGCAGTGTCGCTATTGTTGATGGACCTTCAAAATCTCATTAGGCTCATCACCAATTCCAGCAATCATGACTTATTCATTCAAGCATTAAGGCAAACTTAAGACTAGTAACAGCTGTTCCATATTGTCCATACAGGTACCAATTCTATTTAGGAGATCTTCTGAAACTGTACAAAACCCATATTGCTAAAAAAGTAATTCATTTCACCTGTGCAACATCAACAAATTTTCGATGTTTCTCTAGTAAAACTTTTGTTTCTTGAGCATCATCTCCCAATCGGACATGTGTCTTCAGCAGAGCATCAAGTAGTTCACTTAACCATTCTACTGCCTTCAAAACAGAAGTTAAAAGAATAAAAACTACTAAATTAAAAAGAAATTAATCCAGAAGGGTGAAGTAACTTCAATACTAGCATATACTTTTGATATGGAAAAAAGTTAAAAGAGATATCAAACTGGTATATCATGCATGCAATCACCAAATACACTATTTTCAGTCATTGCTATATCCTTTATTTTCACTGTACAAATTCACTAAATAAAACTACATTTGACAGTGACATAAATAATACTGTACAACTATCAATCCCCATAAGTTTAGCCGGTGGATTTCAAAGACCAGGATGATGAAATTCTGTAGGCATTTCCATACCTGAGCAGCATCCTCTTCGCATTTAAATAACTGTACCATCTGAAGCATCTTCAGTCGCCGCACGTCCACCATATCCTCACACCTTAAACAGTAACACAGACACATGCATAGCAGACACAACACAATCCGAGTTTGACAATGTTTTCAGTGAGCAACATTAAGATGCAAATGTTCACAAAAAGGTGATTAAAGCATTTTTGTGATACTAAGCTTGGCCAAAATATGTAATCCTTCGCATAACAATAAGAAACATGCAATAAATAGAACTGAGCACTACAACCCACCGAAATCATGATTCTCAAGATTCCCAATATAGCTACACTATAGATAGTAATACCAGCAGTAGCTACAAGGCCTTCCAGCTGCATTGCAGGTTCCTTACGCTGTTGCACTGGTAAGATTTGCAGGCCACACAGACGCTTACAT